ATATTTCATGAGTCAAAAAAAAGTTACTTACACATGTTTAATCTTTCGTTCTGATCTTTTAATATCTTAAAAAACAACTGTTACTCGGTGATTACAATAATTATTCTCCCATTATATTTGGAAAAATTGACTCCTACATAACAGAGAGATTATGGGTGTGCTTTCATATAATCAGTTTTTGTTTTTTCTCATTTACTCATTCAATCATAACAGTGATATTCGGCAATGTTAATTCAAGAGTTTACGTGTATTGTATATTGTATGTGTATGTTAATTGTATTTTGTATGTTTATGTTTATTGTACAATGTATATACATTTTACGTTTATTGTTCAGAGGCCAAGATATTGATTGAAAACACGAGTGATGACTTATACAGAGAGACCTTAAACAATCAGCAGGCTTCGTGTCCGAGGTATGTTCTGCTATTGTTTTATTTTGAATTCTGTCATATCTAAAATCATGGAAAAACAAAAAATCGAAAATTGCACATGAGCATTGGTCAGTTTACTTAAAGAATTCAGAGAAATTGTGAATTAATCAAAGATGTTTTGTTCGAAGTTAAGATATTGCTGTATTAGAATCAAGCAATATAGTTAAAGAAACACAAAATGTTTTAGATCATGATAAAATATGATTTTAAGTTGCACTCGCTCTCCAGTTCTGTATTGTCCATCGATGATGATGTAACGATATTCACCTAACTCCTAGACACATGAAACTAGATCTGAAACGTCCTATCCCATATTCAAAATCGCTGAACAGTTTGTGGACGTAGTTGCTATACGATCTAAACCCCCTATCACACCAAACTAGTTCTTCCCCGTTCTTGCCAGTCCTACGAAAACGTTGTAAAACGGGCTCAATCTGGCTGTTGTCGTGAAATATGTTTAAAATAATTAGCTACTTCGTTCATAAACAGTTTTCAATACGTCCATCTCATTCGCAGTTCGTTCAGGTCGCACCACGTCGGTGTACAACGTCGTATAACGCGTTCCTTAGTCTAGTAGGTCATCATTATCGAATTTAGAATCGATTCAAAATTCTAAATCACATTCCCCGTCCGGGAAAGTCCATGAAGTTCGTAAACAGACCGTAGAACGTTGTAGCTTCTTTCATTCAGTTCGCACACAGTTTAAAACCGATTCGGTAATGTTTTGAAGAACGCAGTGCCAACTGGTTCTGGTGTGATAGCTATTTTTGTTAATTCGTTCATAAGCAGTTTTTATTACGTTCATCTCGTCTTTATTCCGTCTGCAGTACGTTGGTATCAAGTTTAAATCGGGTTAAATTGTGCGTTCGTATCGTCTACACAACCTATCCAAGTAGTTCAATTACGTCCTTAATCAGTTAACCAGTTGACAATTAGAATTAGAACTTTATGAGAACCCACTGTGAACCTTTATAAACGGGAAGAACGTTATTCGGTCGAGTTGGGTTTGTCTACGAACAGAATGAACGAGCTACAGACGGACTAGATTGGTGTACTCACGGCTGCAATTTACGCCTGACTACACAACGTCGTAATACGTCCCAAGTAGGATTGAAGTACGACACTTCCGTTCGTAGGGTGTCCCCAGTGCGTCCAGGTCGTCTTAAGTACGTTGTCACCCGTTCTGATTGCAGAACGTGACGATCACCAGAAAATTTTGAGCATGCTCTAAGTTCTGGAGGACCTACTCGTTCGAGTAGTTTCATGAAGTTGTAAACAGATCCCAAAATGGTTTTTACTGGGTTCTTAGTACGTCAAATCGGTTCGTGCACCGTTTAAGCCCGTTTTCGAGAACGTAGTGAAAACTACTTTGGTGTGATAGTAGGGTTACCCTTCTATCACACCAAACTAATTCTCACTACGTTCTAGAAAACGGGTTTAAACTGTGTACGAACGAATTAGACATTAGGGGTATATTTACAAACTTAATGAACGTATTCGAACGGATAGGTCCTCCAGAACTTAGAGCAAGCTCGAAATTTCTGATGGTCGTCACGTTCTGCAATATAACGAGTTACAACGTACTTAAGACGAGCTGGACGTACTACGAACGGAACTGTCGTACTCCAATCCTAGTATGGACGTTTTTAAAACGAGTTGAATTGTCTGAGCTGAGGGCGTATTGAGAACGATGTACAACTAATTGCAAACGGGTTTACAGGGTGGTCCAAAAAGTGAACCCCTGCATATTATCACATCTTGTAGAGAAAGGTCTAACATTTTTGTTGATGCCATAATTTTGAAGAAATTACACAAGACTTAAACAAACATGCCTAAAATTAGATATTGTGCAAAACTTTACCAATGTGATTCATGGAAATTGTTGGATGATCTTAAAAAAAAGCTTTCAGTGAGAGATATAAGTTTAGACCAAACCATATGGCAAATGGGAGACTATTTGGGCAGAAAACACATTTCACACTTCCATTGACCATTTTGAAGCAGTTTTAACCATTCAACAGTTAAGGGGCATGTTACCTACACAAACTGTTAAAGGATGGCAAAGATACCACATGTGCCCCAAAATCCGAGAAGCCCTTCATAAATATCGTTCAAAAATAAAAAGGAAATCTAATATCTAGTGTTTTGAGCCATATTTCATTAAATTTGGTCCATGATTAGTGAAGATATTGGCATTTTAAGACCATACAGGGGTATGTTGCGATTTCACTGGAAGATGTTTTCGTCTTTGGAACTTAGACCATTTCTTTGGATCACTATAACTTTGCAACTGAGGCAGGGTGCTAATTTTACACCATATCGTGCATAAAAAAAGATTTCCACATGAAGGTTGTTGAGGGTTGAAGAATCGCAAATGTTGAAGTTCACATTTGTCGATTTTCAGTGATGTTTGGTTAGGGCATATAATTTCTGCAAATATCAAGACTACGCAAAATGTATGATACCAACAAAAAATTTAGACCTTCCACTACAACATGTGAAAATATGAAGGGATTCCTGTTGGTAATAAGGGAAATGTAGCCTGTTGCAACTGCTCACTTTTTGGACCAGCCTGTAAACTGATTAAGGACGTATTAAAGACTGCTTATGAACCAGTTTGCAAAGATATAGCTATCACACCAAACTATTTGCCACTGCGTTCTACAAAGGTTGCCGAACTGATTTTAAACTGTATGCAGACGGAACGATCGTAGCTGCAATTTTCTACGGCATATTTACGGTCTTTATGGACGTGTTAACGACGTCGTGCAATCGGATATCAATTGCAGTACAAGTACACACCGAAATGGTTCTACCTGAACGAACTGCGAATAAGATGACCGTATTGAAGACAGTTTATGAACGAAGTATCTAATTAATTGAGACATATTTCTCGACCAGACAGATTTAGCCCGTTTTATGACTTATTGTATGACTGGAAAAACGGTCGAGAAGTAGTTTGGTGTAATAGCGGCGGTTATAACGAGCTTATGGACGTATGTGGACGGAAAGGTGCTCTACAACTACGCAATGTTTCGTCACGTTCGCTTGAAATAAGTTAAAAACATACAGTTTCGTAGAACTCGGGCCCGTAGCCCGACCCCCAGAGGCCAAAGATTCTTTCAAAATCACGCACTTTGATTTTTCCCATTCTGAGCACTTTTCAAGTTATTTTGGTCAAAAACGTGAACCCCCTTTGTAAATCTTGGCTACGGGCCCGGGACTTGACATCTTGCGGATCGTTTCTAGCTGTTTTAAAACGTCCGTAGTAAGTTCTCAACATCTACTCTCGTTTTTTGAGAACAGTTTATTAACCCTACTATCACACCAAACTAGTTCTCACTACGTTCTCGAAAACGGGCTTAAACTGTGCACGGACGGATTTGACGTACTAAGAACCCACTAAGAACCGTTTGGGATCTGTTTACAAACTTCATGAAACTACTAGAACGAGTAGGTCCTCCAGCACTTAGAGCATGCTCAACATTTTCTGGTGATCATCAAAACGTTGCCGAATCGGTTTTAAACTGTGAGCGAACTGAATGAACGTAGCTACAACGTTCGACGGTCTGTTTACGAACTTCATGGACTTTCCCGGACGGGGTATGTGATTTAGAATTTTGAATCGATTCAAAATTCGATGGCGACCATACCGTTCTGTAATCATGTCATGATGACCCAGTCTAGACTAAGGGACAGTTTATACTACGTTGCACACCGACGTGGTGCGACCTGGACGAACTGCGAACATGATGGACGTATTGAAGACTGCTTATGAACGAAGTAGATAATTATTTTAGACATATATCCCGACCGCAGCCAGATCGAGCCCGTTTTAAGACATTTTCGTAGGACTGGCAAGAACGGGTAAGAACTAGTTTGGTGTGATAGGGGGGTAACGAACTACGTAGCATCGTCATAAACTCCGACAACAACCCGTTTTGCATTTGACGAAGGAAGAACACATTTCTAGAACTACATGTACTTCGGTGTGTCCATAGCTTTAGTTGGTCATTACACCGATTCCTATTTCGTCCTATCTAAACACCAGCTTGTCGTCATGAGATAAAAGTATGCACAATTCAGTTCTCAGAACTGCCGAGGGACCGATTCATTGTCTTTTAAGATATGATCAAGATTACTTGACTTTTAAAGTACATGTTATATTCTACTGATAAATAGTTGATGGTTACACGCGTACGTGAATCATAGATAAAGCCACTTATCACTGTTCTTCATAGCGATGGCCTATTTTAAACTCGTCACATGTAACAAATACTGCTTGGAAGAGTTATAACAGTTTTGATCGCACTGTTTCTATTTTGCATTGTATCAAAATCCCTTATGCTTACAATCATCACAAAATATCATAATATTTATCATTATAAATTATGAATTTAAAGTGTCTTTTATTGCATGGTTGTACATTGCATTTAATTACATTGAACTTAATATACATTTAGAAATCGACAATGACGTTTTCACCAGATTCCTGATAATGTTTAAGTAACAGCAAAATTAACAAATGCATCAAATTATGGTTTCTTATTGTAGTACGATGTCAATTAGTGAGTAACCCAAAATGATCTGAAAACGGATAAAGAAAGCAAGTGTCCGGTCAGTAAAGACAAACCCCAGCGTATACGTAGAAAGATAACGAAGGAAAAAAATCGAGGGAAATCTGAAGGTGGTAAACACTTAGATAACCAAGATTTAAAAGAACAAAAAGATCAAAGTAAAATTGACGATGCTGACAAAGGCAAGGCCATGGATAAGTCAAATCAGAGAAGAGTAAATAATCGAAGCAGGGGGCGTAACAACAAGGGTTCTTCAGTTTCGAGTGGAAGGATGACAGATCAGACGAAAGATGGGCGAAACATCGAAACAACGAACAGTGATAGGACTAACAAAATCTCTTATGAGAGCAAGAACAAAGGTACACGAACTAGACCAATGGCACTTAGAAGATTGAGGGAGCTTATTATTGAGGAACCAACAAAATTGATTCTCGCCTTGCTGAACCCAGCCAATGGCTTTCTAGAACTTTTAGACCGCTGCAACACCTCGGATCACACGGAGCTGATTTTAAGTGCTATAGCAAAGTGTCTTCGTTGCGACAAAGATTCATTTGTACTAGACCTAATCTTCAAAATACACAATTCACCATTCATAGACACTTCATTAGCATGTAGCCATTTCAGCAACATAACTACCGATGTTTTCCTAGCGTCTTCATCAGATGCAGCGTTGGCAGAAGTTGAAAAAATAGTTCGACGGTTCAAAGGGTCAATCGTTGATTCTCTCAATTTAATGACTGAGATGCTTCATCGATTACCTTCAAGTGTAGCGAAGGTCAACGCAGCTTTGAGCGTGATGGATACTTTTTTGAAAGAAATCAACACTGTTGCACCCGACGACATTGCAGAAATAATCGAGAACTATGACGACGTCAAGCAATTATTAAAGAGAGCAATAGAAAAGGGACAACCAGTTCGATACACAATTATTTCTGAACAGCGTAAAGAAACGAAACGACGCGAAAATGAGGATCTTCCACCACCAAATGATTTTAGAGATACCCCTGTATTCCCAACTCAGGATGATATCATATTGGACGAAGAACCTTTCCTGAGAATGAACAAGTGTGACGGGGCCTATGAAGATATTGATCACTATTTAGATGTCCAATTTCGTCTCTTAAGAGAAGACTTCGTCAGACCACTTAGAGAGGGCATCGAAAAGTACACACGATTGAACGATTCAAATGAAAAGGGGAATCTGCAAGATATTCGTCTGTATGATAAGGTCCATATAAGGAGCCCGATGTGTCAACATGATGGAATCCATCATAAAATACAATTTGATGTTTCTAGTTTAAAAGGAATAAATTGGAATACATCGAAGCGTTTGATCTACGGATCATTACTTTGCCTATCTAGAGATGGCTTTAAAACATTCCTTTTTGCCACTGTATCTAATAGGAAAGTTAATGATTTGAATCAAGGGATACTACAGGTTAGATTCGAACAGAACAACGTAGATATTGCCACGATTAAGCCTGATGTCGAATTCCAAATGGTTGAGACGACCGCATATTTTGAAGCCTACAGACACGTGTTAAAAGCTCTGCAGAGTCTTAATGGGGACTCACTACCGTTTCAGAGGTATATTGTTAAATGTGAGGCCAATGTAGATTCACCCAAATACATACGTAATACTCCAAGGCAGACATTTGACTTAAGACCATTAATAGCGGACAAGGAAGTCGATTTGACTCGAAATTATGACACTGACGATGATGAGGAAGTTGGTCGTGAAACAAAGCGTATTGCTGAATTATCCAAAGTAGATGACCATGCACGATCTGTTGAGATTCTCCAACCTGACAAGTGGCCAAGTGCAGAGGAAATGCACCTTGACTCATCGCAATATAAAGCTGTCCAAATGGCACTTACGAAGGAATTTGTCATCATCCAAGGACCACCGGGCACAGGAAAGACGCACATAGGTCTGAAAATTGTTCAGACGTTGCTACATAACAGAAACACCTGGACCATGGATCGGATGGGTAAACAAGAGAACAGTCCTATTTTGGTAGTGTGTTATACAAATCACGCTCTTGACCAATTTCTCGAGGGCATTCACACATTTTGGAAAACAAATATTGTAAGGATAGGAGGAAGGAGTAAAAGTGAAATAATGCAGAGATTCCTTTTAAAGAATATAAAGCAAACGATAAAGAGGGACAAAAAGATTCCTTTGGACATACGTCGAGGAAAATATGAGGCTACCATCTCGCTTCGGGAGTTGCAGAAAGAGATAGAACAAGTTACAAGTTAAATTGACAAGACTTACAAAGGTATTTTAAAGGCAACCATCTTGCGTCAGTTTATCGCCGATGAACACTTTGACAAACTTCATGAGAATTCCAGTGCAAATAGACCTCAAATTGCAGACTCAAAGCAGTCTAGCATATCAGTTTGGCTTGAGATCGGAGACAAAATGGGGTCATCAAACGCCACCTTTATTGACATGATGATTGTAAATGATCCAGATGAACCTATTCAAACAGATACACTAGATGACATAGATGATGAGTCTGAGGGAGAAGCAAATGGACGGATACTAGATGAGGAAGAATGGGATACTGACCAAAATTCATATCAACAGAACGAAATGGGTGCCAATGCAACTGCTGAAATATTGGATGTTGACTTTAATTGTATCGACAAGACAGAAAATTCAAAATATGCATATGAATGGCAGACAGTTCAAAGTAAGCGATCCAAAAAGCAGCAATACAGAAAACTGGACAGTACTGATATGATGTCAGAAGATGAAGCTCAAAAATGCATTGATATTTGGGAGATGTCCACCATTGAGAGGTGGCGCCTATATCGTTATTGGGTGAATAAGTACAGGACAAATCTGAAAGAGAAAATCCAAGCATGTGAAATGGAATATGAAAGAATTGCTCAAATTATGAGTGATCTTAAAAGAGAGGAAGACTGTATCGTAATGAAAGACGCAGTAATTATTGGGATGACAACAACTGGGGCAGCTAAATACCGGGCCATACTTCAACAAGTGAGACCTAAAATTGTTATCGTTGAAGAAGCAGCTGAAGTGTTAGAATCGCACATTGTAACAACTCTTACTGAAGAGTGCGAACACCTGATCCTGATTGGAGATCATAAACAGCTACGTCCTAACCCAACTGTATATGACTTGGCTATACACTTTAATTTGGAGATCTCCTTCTTTGAACGCATGATCAACAACGCTATCCCATATGAGTGTCTAGAGCGTCAGCACAGGATGAGACCTGAGGTATCTGAATTGATAGCTGACATATACCCTGAACTGAAAGATCATCCTTCTGTTCGTGTTTACGGAGACGTAAAAGGAGTAGCAAAGAATATGTTTTTCGTGAGTCATAGCGTGCAAGAAAAAAGTGATGTCGATCTACGAAGCAAATCAAACCCATTCGAAGCCGAGTACATAGTAGCTCTATGCAAGTATCTGATCCAACAGGGTTATAAGAGAGAAGAAATCACTATTCTGACGCTTTACACAGGTCAGATGTTTACCATCAAAAACTTGATGCCAAAGGCATTCTTTAACGGGGTTCGAGTTTGTGCAGTCGATAGTTTTCAGGGTGAGGAAAATATGATTGTTTTGCTATCTCTTGTCAGATCTAACAATAAAGGTAGCATCGGATTTGTCGGTATTGAGAACAGGATATGCGTGGCGTTGTCAAGAGCCAAAAAAGGATTTTATGCAATTGGAAACATGAAGCTGTTCGCTGAAAAAAACCGCCTTTGGAAAAAGATAAACAAGCGTTTGAAACTCAATGGAAATGTTGCTGATCATCTGGAGCTCTACTGTCAAAACCACCCAAGTGATAATCACATCAAAGCTAAAACAGCAAAGGATTTTAACAAAGCCCCTAGTGGAGGATGTCAAAAGAAATGTGCCCTCCAATTAGAATGTGGACACGCCTGCACACAACGATGCCACGTTGTTGACGTTAACCACAAGGATTATCAATGCAAAGTACTTAAAAGTAAGGTCATACCATCATGTGGTCACAGTCAAAATATGCCATGCTACTTAGATCCAAATGAATTCCTTTGTCAAATGCCTTGTGGGAAATATTGTTCCAATGGCCATATGTGTAGCAGAAAGTGTCATATGGATTGCGGTGATTGCCAGATACTGATAGAAAAAGTCATCCCATCTTGCGGGCATAGGCAGGATGTACCTTGCTGTCGCAGCCCTGATGAAGTAAAATGTTTGAACCCGTGTGAAAGAACGTGTGAATACGGTCACATTTGCAAGAAACTCTGTCATCAGGAATGTGGAAAATGTAGAACCAGAATTGGGAAAAAACTCAAGCCATGTGGGCACACACGTTTAATGGCTTGCTACGAAGACCCAGATTTGTTCAAGGGTAGATGTCATGAATTCGTGAATAAAGTTATACCAAAGTGTCTCCATACACTCCAAGTAAAATGTCACATGGATCCGTCTTTTGTCATCTGCAATGAAATGGTCAGAAAAGAGATACCGTCATGTGGTCACATTCAAGAGATGCGCTGTCACGTTGATCCAGCCACTCTCAATGGATGTTGTATCATGGTTGATAAAATTATCCCGTCTTGTGGACACAAACAGAAAGTGGAGTGTTTTACTAACCCAGCTGATGTTAAATGTTTGATGCCTTGTTCGAAGAAGTGTGAAAATGACCACCCATGTCCTGAACAATGTCATATAGGTGTCAATTGTGGAGATTGTAAAATAGTTATACACAAAACTATACCATCATGTAAACACTTGACAAAAATGCCATGTCACTTGAACCCGACTTTATTCACTGGCAAATGTTATATCAAGGTGATTAAAGTCTTGCCGATTTGTGGACACCCTCAGTTGGTGTCCTGTTGTGAAAAACCGGTAGACTGTCAAACATCTGTTTCAAAAATATGTCCATCTTGTGAACACGAACATGTTTTACCATGTCACTCGAGCAAATTATTTAATTGCACAAAGCCTTGCCAAAAGAAACTCGCCTGTGGACACCATTGTAGGGAGAAATGTGGAAGTCCATGCACGGCAATGTGTAGAGATGAAGTGAGAATTAACTTAAAATGTGGTCACGATTGCAGCATTGAATGCCACCAAAATTCAGATTCCTCCAGTGTTGAGTGTCAACAGCCATGTTTACATCCGCTGGGCTGTGGTCATCTCTGCAAATGAACATGTGGACGATGCAAACAGGGAAAGCTTCATGTACCATGTGAGAAAGAACTCAGCTGTGGCCACACATGCAAAGACGCCTGTTCGTGTAGATACAGCATGAACATCCCCAAACAAATTTTAAAACTACCGAATCCAACATATAATAGCTACACCAACGTCACCACGTTACCCGATCGCGATGCTGTTAAAACGATTCCGACATCGGTCAGTGTTGCTGACAAAAGTGCAACATTGCGATCAGATGTGCCAGACTCACTTAACAGTTCAATGAACTCGCGTACTGACCAGCTAGAAGAGTCTCCTCTGATGACGTGTGCGCTTGAGAAATATTGGGCCTATTGTCATAAAGGTAAGCCGGATACTTATTGATACTTTAATTGTGTGATGAATAATTCACTTTTACTTATGCTTTGTAAATCGCATTTATTAGCTTATTTAATAAGCATTTATTATTTATTTATTTAGAGAAAATCCATTATTAATTTGAGACTAATTTTAAGAATAGTCAGTGGTGACTTGTGTTTATTGTCAGAAATTTCTGCTGTATGGTGTCCAAAAGTATTGTTGTGCCTATTTCAAGTATTCCCCCTGTATTCCTCCAATGCTGAAATTTCCTATTTGCTGAACGCTTCTCATCCTTCAACTATCAGCTGCTCGTAGGGAAGATAAAATTATAAAGCTAAAAGCTTTTACGACTGGTTACATATATACGAGGGTTGATTCAAAAGTTCTGTACCGTTTGCTCTAAAAATCTTAATTCTTTATAAATATTGTTCATATTTGGTCTCAACCACCCCATACATACTAGTTTCATTTTGAGCAAAAATAAGCAATTTTGACAAGTAACATAGGTATCTGGTTACTATATATGCTACAGCAACAGGGTATGTGGAGCAAGACTACGACACATTGTGAGCTGAAAAAATACCAAATTTCAAATGTGTCAGTCATGCCTGTTAAAAAATTAATTTTCAATTTGACTAAATTTTATTGTTAGTTCTTAATTTAATTCCGGAAAATAGTCTCTTTTTATATGCATTGAGTATGTCTGCGCACCCCTTGATCAAACGCATCCTTAAATTCCCCATCACTGGTCTCAGAAAGCCACTCAAGAACAGCAAGACAGACTTCGTAATTTGTCCTTCACAACAACGACAACGATAAAAGTCAGAGGGAGCCAGATCAGGTGAGAAGGGTACATGGTAAAGGTTAAGGCATGCACATATTTTCATTGAAGTTTGAGTAAATATTGAGGTATGAAATGGTGCTATGTCGAAATGGAACTGTATTTTATGATTATTGGGCTGCTTTTGGCGCAAGGCATTCTTCAGGTCAGTGACATCACAGTTACCAACTATAGCATGTGTGATATCATATCGAACATATAGCGTTGGTCTAAAGGAAAAACAATTGATTAACAGGAATGACTAACACGTTTGGTATAAATTTGGTACCCAGTAACACCCTTCAGGTGTCATTTTTTTCCAACTCTACAATGTGTCGTTCTCTTGCTTCAGATACACTGTTGTCATGTTTCTATGGTAACCAGATATTTATTGCTTATTTGTATATGGGGTGGTTTAGGCCAAATATGAACAATATTCATGAAATAATTAGGATTTTTATAGTAAACGGTGCAGAACTTTTGGATCAACCCAAGTATACTAGTAACAGTGCTTGCTGTTTGGTATCAGTGCTCAATAGTAGGGATTTAGAATCTTTTTTACTTGTTATGGTAAATTGTCAGGTTGGACACTGATATAGCTCGCATACTTTAATAGATTATTCGTTCTCTCAGAAGAATATTTCAACGATTGAATAATGATATATTTTCCAAAATGTTGAGCAATTTTCCGACATGCTCTGTTGTCAAAACTACATTTACGAGAAAGTCATGGGTTCTGTTTTTGCCGTCTATCTGTCGTAAGTTCGGGCCATTGACGGAAGGGAACGTAAATCATTTGGATACAAACTAGAACACCTTCGTTCTATATTTCACCAGGTTATCTAATTATAAGGCTTTCAAAATAAACATAACCTTTGATATTTTTATATTGCAGGGCATCTCTACAACATCGGCGACTCCCAAGAAAATAAACCTCCAGCCAAATGTCTTCATTGTAAAGCCACGATACAGAACAAAATTGTGTAGTAGTCAAATTTGACAGTTTGAACTATTCTAGTAAATCATTATAGATGAATCATAGATCGCTTAACTAACTTTAATGTCTTTGGACTTACAGTATTATATTAGGCCCATACAATGCCAATCTAAACTGTTCTGGTAGTTGAACATTTTGTGTACAGGGTGGTCCAAAAAATGGGACACTCGTATTTCAAAAATAAATTTTGTTTTTTTTGATGAAAACATGTCATATTATATACCAATGGATAGGGAATTGACTCATTTTTAATTTGGTATATCATAAGTTCAAATTTATTATAATGTCTGTCAACCAGCGTCCATTATATAAATGACGTCATTTTCGTTTCAAAACGGGTTTTCCGAAACTTGCAAAAAACAAATTTTATTGTCAACTTTATTTACATAAACAGACGTTCAATATGTCCACCATTTTGATCAATTGTAGCCCTTAATTTTGGCCTACACTGGGCAATAGCATCATTGATATGCTGTTGAGACAATGAATTTCAGTTCTCAATAATTCTGTCCTTCAGGGACTGAATAGATGTATGGTAAAGGATTTATGGTACACTAATTCTGTTAGTTCTCCTTTCATCAAGAAAATCAAAATTTATTTTTGAAATACGAGTGTCCCATTTTTTGGACCACCCTGTATGTCGCCAATTGTACTTTAGAATTTTGCTCGTCGTGTTTAAGTCATTTGATTAATACTCACACTTATAGACAAAAGTAATGGGCTTACGGGAGAAATAATAAATTATTTTGCGAAGGCTCAATGTCAATAGTATATCACGTTACTATCACGTTATCATGTGAAACTACATAACATTACCCTATTAGAAAAAAATGTAATAGTGCAGTTGGTTGCACAATTTGCTTGTATTAATTTTTCACAAATAATAAATTACATGTATACATATAATAAAGGATGTACAAGCCCAGGGCTCAATGAATTTCGGGGGAATTTTTTGTTTCGAAACTTTCAATAAGGTCGGTAGCCTCAAAATACAAGACATGAGTGCATTAAACCACCCAAAACTCATCGAGTCGTGCTTCAATATACTTATTTCACACCAGAATGCAAGATGGCAGCCAAAAAGTTAATCGCCATTTTACAGTTAGCATCGATTATCGTTACCAATCAAATCGAGGCGTTCTGTATCACGTTTTCGCATGCGGTATGTCATACTCACCTGCGGAATGTGCCATATACCGCAGGTGAGTATAAAATACCGCATGCAAAAACATGATACAGAAAGCCTCAATTTGATTTGTCGCGAGAATCGACGCTAACTGTAAAATAAAACTACTCTGGATTGCCAATATTGTTAGCGCTAAAATATGAATCCTGGATTTATTGAGTAAGTTTATCACATATGATTGCTAAGTGATAATTCTGAAAGTATCAGAAATATGTAAATATGCCAATACAACGATACATTAATACTTGTGATTTAATAGCTTTTGAGTTCGATCTTTGTCGACTGTAGATTTGGTTTAAAAAGTCACTCAATTATAGGCTCCACGGACGTAGGTTCGTATATTTGTGTTTAATTTTTCCCTCAGGCTGTATTCGTCATACATAAAACAACATCAATAAATGAAGTTTCCACTGGGGTATGTTTTTAACGGTATTACTTGATATTTTCACTGTCCTGTTAATACCGATTTTAATATTTTATAAAAAATTTTACTCGCTCGTTCAATCGATGCAATTGCGTACTTCCGTACCACGTTTCTCATTGGTAATCCATGGATGACATAGCATTATTACATGATGGAGAGTGTGATGTGTAAGGGTTATGTGCTGGGAGGTTTTGGATATGGGGCTTATCCAGAGGGAGATATGCATATCTACCTGAGGGACCGTAAAAAATAAAAATTGAAAACAAATTAGAAAACTAACTATGTTCAACTATCCTTCTTCAAGCTATAATAAAAATTAGTACCTTGGGTACTGGGCTCACATGGTGTTGCTCAAAAGTGAAAATAAATTGTTTGTGACAAAATTATTTTATACAACTACTCTTTACAAAGACATGGCTTTTTACAATGCAAGACACCTGAACTTATTTGTAAAGCTAGAAAATGGGCCGAAAGTGAATTTCCCGAGACAAAAATGGTGGCCATTTTGAAAATAGGCGAGATTTTGAAGCAGGAGTCACAGGTTTTTTCTTTATTGATGTTGAACAAAATTATTTTAAATCTGGAATCTTATCTACAGGGGATTTAAAAGAGCCAAGTGTTGACAGAGAGAGGTTTTAAAACTTGCCACTATTTTGGACTGACTGAGAGACACATGGACAAATCAATGTTAACTAAAATGGCTGAAAATAAAAAAAAAATGATATAATATTTTGCCGATTTTTTGTAGCAAAATTATATAATACAACTACTCTTTACAGTGACATGGCTTTTTACAATGCAGGACAGCTGAAATTATTTGTAAAGCTAGAAAATGGGCCAAAAGTGTATTTCGCGAGACAAGAATGGCGACCATTTTGAAAATAGGCAAGCTTTTGAACCAAGCGTCATAAGAGAGTTTTTTGTATTGATGTTGAGCAAAATTAATTTAAAACGGGAATCCTATCGACAGAGGGTTTAAGGCAAATTGTCCAAAAGTGGATTTTGCGAGACAGAATGACAAATCAATGTTAACTAAAATGGCTGAAAATAAAAAAATGGATATAATTTTTTGCTGATTTTTCGTAACAAAATTATTTCATACATCTACTCTTTACATTGACATGGATTTTTACAATGTAGGACACCTGAAATTATTTGTAAAGCTAGGAAAAGGGTCAAAAGTGAATTTTGTGAGGCAAAAATGGCGGCCATTTTGAAAATAGGCGAGCTTTTGAACCAGGAGTCATAGGGGAGTTTTCTGTATTGATGTTGAACAGAAATAACTTAAAACAGGAATCCTTTTGACAGAGGTTTTAAAACGTGCCACTATTGTTGACGGACGGACAGACAGACAGACAGACAGACGGACAAGTGAGTGATTGCAAAAGCTCACCATGTGAGCTAAAAACTATGGTGAAAATACTCTGAAAGCAATCGTTAATTGAAAAGAAAATAAGGTTATATGTTTAGTTTAAATCTTATAGATGATTTTTACAATGGTTAACACCGTGCAAATCTTAGGTAGCATTCGCGAATTCAACTTAGCCTTCTATTTTGTGGCTTTCCATGTTTAAATA